GTGGATGATAGTGATAGCCAGACACCATCTAGTTGAGGCAGTACAGTTTATGGAAGTAGGTTGCCTCATCTTCCCTCCCCAGAGTGGCTGGTAGGCTTCAACCGCTGACCTTCTGGTTAGCGGTCCAATGCCTTAGGCACTCTGCCATCAGAGCTCTTTATGTCCTGTTCTAGGGAGAGACATGAAATGTACAGAAGATAACCAGGAATCAGAAGTCAAACAAGAGACTTCAACAATTGTAAAGTTGGAAATACCCATGAGGAAAGAATTATTTAAATTAAAACTAATGATAAAATTCTGACACACAGCCAAACATGCAATTACCAACTTCCTTTGCTCCCCAAGAGTTTCTCTGATGACCGCAGTACACGTTTCAGTTCATAAACGGACTGAAGAGACCGTAGGCTTTTCTCTACAGACGTACTAATTAAGCATAGTCGTGGGCAGGTACCATACATAAATTGGAACCACTGAATTCCACGGTCACGATTTTGAGCACTGTGTTTCCCTCAGGAATCTCTCCTATGCTGCACCGAGACTTCAGAAACCGGAAGTGGAAGAGTGCCTTCTCGGCTTGGTAGAAAGTCGTGTCGTGCCGTTTTTTGCTTCAAGATTAGGTAGCTTGTTCCGCAGACTCTAGTCGGCGTGCTGGAAGCGGAAGAGTGTCTTCTCGGCTTGGTAGATAGTCATGTAGTGTCCATTTCTGTTGTAGGAATACGTAGCTTGTTCCTGAGACTCTAGTCGGCGTAGTCTCCTGGCGGGTGCTTGTTCGCGCTCCTGCTCAGTTCTGAGGTAGATTTTCCACAGTCTCCAGTCCGCCTGCTGCCCTGGCAGGTAGGTGCCCCGCAGGCTCTGGTTCCGGGTCCCGCTCTGCTGCGATTCTCGACCTGTCCACTTCCCGGAGCCTCGCAGCCTGCCTCTTGTCGCCCGGGCGCCGCCGCTTTTTGCGCTGTAGCGGCGCGGCGGTCACAGCCGCTCTCTGGACGCCGAGCAGCGGGCTCTCTTCTGCTTTTCTCGGTGTGATTACAGGTAACATGGTGGGATCCCCTCGCTTGTCCGTGGACAGGGATTTACTAAGGGCCCGTATGTGAACTCAGGGTCCGGTCTGTTCTTAGCTCAGGGGAGCAAGTTCTCCACCTTTTCCTCCATGTAATGGCTGTTATTTGTTTTCTGTGTCTCTTCAGGAGGGACTTTTCTTTAGTGTTGGGGGTCACTCACAAATGGAGAATATGGTGAGGAATTCATCGTCCCTTAATGGTT